CCGTGACAATATGCGTTTTGTAACGCTGTTACACAGCACAAAACGCATAAAAATTAGTCAGTTTTCAACGATCTACTACAGAAGCCTTCCTGTTTCTGACTAGCCAGGCAGTGCAAACTATTTCACCAAGTCACTGTAGAAGCTGAAGGAATGACCGCAAATCTCAAAGCAGTTGCTCAACACTGACAATACTTATCATTACACTGCCGGAACGAAACGACAGCACATAAACCACGAGCGTCATGCTGATGAGGTCCAGCAGTGGTGTTGAGCTAAGATGTATATGACTTAATGGACCGAAACGTTTTAACTCAATTGTTTTTTGCTATTATTTTTCCCTCTGCTTATACACCTTCCTTACTTTGGCACCCTAGATCAACATGGATGCTACAATCGGCTATGCAAAGAGTGTGGCAAGGTGTAGCAGTCCAGTGGATGAATATGACATTACAGCAGAAATGCCAGCACTCGATTTCCATTATCTAATACCACCCCACATTAAAATTTAAGGATTTCGGCTGTTTCGCACTTCCCATGATTCGAACTGGTTGCTACTTCAGAAATTATGGTTAGGCCTACCAAGAGCCCAAAAAAGAAATTTTTAATCAACTTAACCCACTTCGGCCGCCCCATTTGGACCGTCCACTTCTGATTTGGCCTTCTAATGGCCGTTACTTATCTTCTCAAAACGTCTTTTGCAAGAAGCTGTGAGGGAAAAGAAATAAAATGAAGCATGCTGAATGTAATTAAGCCAAACTGTTGATGAGGGAATGACCAAAAATTGCATGTGTATGTGAGGTTTTGAATGGGAGGGGCAAGAATTGGGCATGAGCCATCAAGTTGGAGCCTTGCAGATTGGCTCTGGTCATCTCTACAACCGGAGACTGATGTTTTTGGAATTCCTTTACAAATAATTTCGAATAAGTTGCTATCTACCGCAGAGAAGATTCATCACATTGCAGCTTCGAGAAATATTTAATCAAAGTCAAAATCCCTTCCGTATTTCACTTTCAGTGGATGGCGGTGGCACTCGGGGAGTAACTCATGTGGTAGCAAATGCCAAAAGCAACCACTCGCTGGTAAGACTGTCGATGGCTTCCTCTTCTAAGGCAAGCAAGCTGATGGCAGGTTTGACTTTATGGCATATGCTAGTACCAATTTACCATCGAAACAAATCGTAGAGGTATTGGTTGCCCCACCGGCACAGTCAAACCTTCGAGCTACTATAAGATAATAGTGCAACCTCCCTGAGCCATGCCTGCCCGCCGGCGATATTTTAAAAAATATACGGTACATCTTGCATATTCCTCCGGATATAACAAGCATGTTGGGAAACGTGTGAAACACAGAGAAAAGAGCCGATCCACCTGTTGAAACACTTTGATAAGTTACAGTCTTTAACGGTTTTTTCAGAAGCCAATTCCGGGGAACTCCTCAAATACAATTTAAGGTTAAGTGGAAATTTTGTTAGAAAATGTAGAAATGGATGATAGAAAAGGTCAAAAAAGAGCAAAAAAAAGGGAAGATGTAAAAAGAAAAAGTAATAAATTAGATAAGAAATGTTTAAGTCCATTAAGTCGTATAGTATTCCTATGGAACATAGGCAGATCTAGGATGGCTTCTTGAGGGGGGGAAGACAAGAAGTCCGGAAGAGAGTTTTCTTCAGTTTTAGCACTGCTACCTGTGCCACTGGGAGGGGGAAAGACTCGTCGCCCCCCCCCCCTCTCCGGGTCCGCCAATGCTGTAGAATAATGCTAAAAGTGCTAACCTGCCAGTATCTCTTCTGATAATGCAGCGGCAATCGGTGCACGATGGACTGCTTGTTGTCCCAGATCTCGCGATTACGTCGGATGCGCTCCGCACGATCCCAGGTGACCACCGGGCGTGGTGCCAAGCTTGCCACTGCTTTCAGATTTTTAGCCAACGATAAGGTTGACATCTTGGCAACGCTGAAATAGTAGAATAGAGGGACAGGACTTAAGTGTTATGTGTAAGAAGACCGAACTCTACATGTGCGTCGGGAGTGGGGATCATCAGTGAAGCCTCCTACCCGCCATGTTTTGAATAGTCATGTAACTAATTTGCAAAACAAATAAATAGCAACGCGCATCAAACTAGCCGGTGTGACCAAGCGTTTTGTGCAATTCAGCCCATCGAACGATTGCCTATTAATGATTTTCACTGCTTGTATTTC